CACTTATTGCACTTCGAGGACCTGGATGACAATTTTCATAGTTCGAGGACCTACGTGACACTCCTGAAATAGTTCGAGGACCTACAGTGCACTTCACTCGCAGATTAATATAGCTGGAGATGCTTTAGTTTGGGGAGGAGGTAGAAATCAGTGGTTGTGCTTAAGCTTTTGTTCTTATTTACCTTTGAGGCATAAATTCAAATGATTAGTATATGCATGGTAATCTTTGTGCTTTTGACAACCACTAGAGGACCGTGTGACAACTAATTTATGCTTGATTATTTTCTCGTTTTTATTCCTGACATTTAGCTCTTGCCCTTGGTCAGTTCTTTTGGAAGGAGCTCTTCCTCGGCCTCTGCATGGGCGCGACCTGCACTGTCAGTATGTATGCTGTGGCCATGCCAAAAACAACCACTTAATTAGATTTCTATTTTTAACTAATCCCTCTTCCGTTTCAGTCATGTTCAAGTCTGAATACTTTTTCTCCAATATTTATGTCACATGAGGTGATGGCATAATTTAGTTAATGGCATTATGGCAGGACTCATGTGCAGTCATTGGTTACAATGGTGGCTCATGAAGTTCAAACAATTCTTTCAGATTTGAGATGATAGAAATTGAGAATAGGTAAGACAATAAGCCATGTTTCTTCTTTGCTACTCTGGCTGTCATGTGTCGCATAGTTTTTTCCGCCCCAGATACTACTGGTTGTCTTTGTTGTTTTACTAGATCCATCTCCATGAGCTTTTGTTTTTGTAGTGGATCTGTTTATTATTGCTGGTCCATCTTAGGGTAAGCATTATGGATGACATGTTGTTTTCATCCTTTTGTTGTCAAAAATTGATGTGGGTATGCTTTAGTTTTCTCTCTGCAACCAACTTATTGCAGTTAGTGAAGAACAAGATAAATGAAGGAAGTACGTGCTATACTACTATATGTTGACTAGATAAAAATGTTATGGATGGAGTGTTTTAGTTGTGTTGAAACTTCATGGGAGGAGTACAGCAAGCCGTGTGTACCTTGCTTTTCTATTTTTGACGGACTGATGCGCATGCATTGTTTGTGCTTCACTAAAATGAGCTAATTAATTCGCTTAATTTTCCGTGTGATTTGCAGTACTTCAATACAAGAAAATGCAGAAAGCATGAACTAGATGGATATGTCCAGGTTGCATTTTTTCTTCCTCCACCCCATGTTTCAACTTATAATTTAGTTGATAGTATGATTCCTGGCTTGGGAGGATGCCATAAACAAGATATGCATTAGTTTCTAATGCATTTTCATTACAATTCCTTTTTGCTAGAGCAGATCATTTTAGATGGATATATATGTACATATGTTGAGGAGAAGCTTGTCCAACATCGTTTGAGATGGTTTGGGCATATCCAGCGCAGGCCTCCAGAAGCTCCAGTGCATAGCGGACGGCTAAAGCGTGCGGAGAATGTCAAGAGAGGGCGGGGTCGACCGATTTTGACATGGGAGGAGTCCGTTAAGAGAGACCTGAAGGATTGGAGTATCGACAAAGAGCTAGCTATGGACAGGGGTGCGTGGAAGCTTGCTATCCATGTGCCAGAGCCATGAGTTGGTTGCGAGATCTTATGGGTTTCACCTCTAGCCTACCCCAACTTGTTTGGGACTAAAGGCTTTGTTGTTGTTGTGATATATGTACATATGTTGTTAAGAGGGAGAAGAGTGAAAGAAAAAACCTCAGGGAGAAAGATAGCTAGACAACTGATTAGTATATATTGTCAACTGCATATTTTGATTATTATTTACAAACCGAACTTCCATTATTTCAATAGGGTGGCATGTGAATGACCTGTACAACACCATTGCAAGAGTGACTGATGGTGTTATGAAGGTACCTTGTTTGTGAATAAATGTAAATGTCACATTTACTGATTCACATGAATAGTACTCCCATGCTATCATTTTCTTAACCTATTCAGGCCTTGTTCGGTTGCACAGGGTTTGAGGGGGATTAAAGAGGATTGTGAGGGATTACATCTCCTGTAAGTCAAATTCCTTCCCAGTCTCCTTCAAACCTCTCCAATCCCCTTGGGGAAGGGATTAAACGAACAAGCCCTCAGGAATTACAATTGGTGGGGTTGTTTTCCCTGGCTCAACTCTTTCAAATCACAATCCGCCTCTAATAAATACCCCAGGTCAGACACTGAACATCTCTATGTTAAGGATGAGAAATTCAAGAAGTTGACATAACTTTTTTTATTAAAAACAATTCAGGCTTTAACAACTGGTCCTTCATAATATGTAGTTATATTCCCCATTATTCTAATCTGAAGCAGCAAATTTGATTCTCGCATCCGACTCTAATCGTGAAGGTGAATCAATTGTTTGGAACATTAAATAAATGCTTGAACAGCAAGGTGGTGTTGGGTTGCCATGTTTTAGATGGTAGCGGCCGGTGGGGGTCTGGCGGGCGTTGCGGCCGACAGGATCTGGCGGACATGGCGGCAGCTGGAAGGGCAGCAGCAGCCTGTGGGGCGTCGACCGGTCCAGCAGCGGCCTTGATGGAGAAGGGCCAGGCAGGATTCGTGCCCCTTCACCTCTAGGTTCCTCTCTGTCACCTGTCCCTTCCTCCCTCTCCTTTCCACTAGGTATACCCATGTATGTTTAACTGATGTGATCCATTCTTGCAGGACTATGACATTGGCACTTTCAACATCTAGCAAACGCCAAAAATTTATTCATGATGATGAAGCGGCCAAGTGACAATTGATAGCCATGTTAACAACCATCCTCAAGCAAAGCCAAGCAAAGAGCATATCACTGTGTGGGAAAAAGGAGCAAAATTGGTTGATGTTCTCCATGGTGATGAAGCGGCTGTCATAATTCAAACATCTCGTGCTAACTTAGAGTGTATGTACCCTAGAAAGCTGGTCCTTGTTGCAATTGTTCAGGCACTGGTCCAGAGGCGTTTCAAAGATGCAATGGACATGGTAAGACGCCATCGAATATATTTCAATATGTTCGTTGATTATTGTGGATGGAAAGCTTTTATCAAGTCAGCATTAGATTTTGTTCAAGAAGTCAATAACCTTAGCCGCATCACTGAATTTGTTTGCTCAATTAAGAATGAGAATGTCAGCAGCAAATTGTATGAGGCGTACATATCATTCCCTGAGTAGTGCTTGAGCTCAATGGATAGTGAGAATCTGCATGGCGCCTTGTCAGAGAACAAAGTAACATCTGCACTGATGTCAATCAGAAAAGCCCTTGAGGAACAAATAGAAGAAAGCTCATCTCGAGAACTCTGCATACTTACCACTTTGGCGTGTAGCGAACCTCCATTGTTGGAAGAAACATTGAATAGAATTAAAGTCATTCGAGAACTGGAACTTCATGGGGTTGATGATGGCCGACGGAAGCTTTACCCATCTGCTGAAGAGTCTTTGAAGCACTTGCTTTGGCTAAGAGAACCAGAAACTGTTTTTAATGCTGCTTTGGGATTGTATGATCTGAGTCTTGCTACTATAGTTGCTTTAAATTCCCAAAAAGATCCAAAGGAGTTCCTTCCTTTTCTTAAGGGTCTTGAATGCCTACCTCCTTCTTTTATGAGGTACACAATAGATTTGAAACTTTCAAGATATGAGAGTGCTCTCAGAAACATTGTGTCTCCTGGTAATGAGTATCATGCGGACTGCATGGAACTCCTTAATTCTAACCCTCAGTTGTTCCTACTAGGCCTCCAGTTATTTAGTGACCCAGATAAAAGGCACCAAATTCTTGAGGCATGGGGCGACCCGTCTTTTTGAAGAGAAATGCTTTGGAGAAGCTACAATAACTTATCAATGCTGCTCATCATATCAGAAATCTTTGAAAGCTTATCATGCCTGTGGGGACTACAGACGTGTGTTCACTGTTACAGGCCTTCTGAACTTCACAAAGGAAGACATTCTTCAACTAGCACAGGAGCTGTGTGACGAGTTCCAAGCACTCGGGAAGCCAGGAGATGCCGCCAAAACCGAGCATTGTTTAGATGTTGATAGAGGTGTAGGCTGCTACATCATGGCAAGAGAATGGGAAGAGGCTCTTAGAGTGGCTTATATGCACAGCAGGCAGGATCTTGTTGATACTGTTAAAGATGCAGCTCTGGAGTTTGCTGCATTGTTGATATCCGAGTATCAAGAAGGATTGCTGAAGGTGGGTAAATATCTTGCACGCTACGTTGCTGTGCGGAAGAGGAGATTATCTCTCGCAGCTAAACTACAGTCAAAGGAGTGATTTATGGATGTCGAAGACGACAACATTTCAGAAGTCAGCTCTAGCTTCAGCGAAATGAGTGCATACACGACGAGGTTTGTTATTCTGTCGTTTTAAGTTCCTAAGTCCTTGTGCTTAATGTTCCAATTCCATCTTCCTTGTTTAATGTGATATCAATTTCGAATGGCATGTATATTAGTGATCTGTAGACCGGAGTGTATAACTTACTGACTTGCATGATGTATATCAGGGTTTTTCTTTGTTGGCTCAAATAAATTTTGTCCATTTATATTAAATCTCACATTATGCATAGTGGATTATGAAGCCATTCTTAGGTGCTTGGATCAACCTTGGCTTGGATTATATTTTCTGCACATTGTTGTAAATATGCTGTTGGCCCTTTCTGCCTTATCTCTCCCTCCTGTTGACAATCTCTACTCACTGCAAATGTCGCTAGGGCATGCTGTTTAAACTATGTCTTTTCGTTGCTGTTACACTGTCTGCGCCTCCTTATATCTTCTATTTACTGCTGGGCTTGCTAATCTAAAAGCCCTTCTCCTTCATCGGTTTACCTCTGAAGGCAAACATCACATTTCTTCCTGTTAATTCCCTGCCGCAGTTCATCGTCTAGGTTCTTTTTCGCCTTCTTCGCATAATGATAGGGACTCACCAGGAAATCAAAGCCAAGAATTGCCAGCTGAATTTAATGTTCAACACAGAGAAGGTCGATTTGTTTTTGTAAAAGGCCTGCTAGGACCCTCTTCCTTTATTTTCTTTCTGGTCTTACCTGTCTGCTTGGTACAAAGAAATACACAGGTTTCACTTATCAGCAGCCAAAAATATAGGTTTAAAAGCTTATTATTTACCTTGCTTTGGTTTTGCCTCTGTATACATAGAAAGTTTTTAGTCATATTCATGTATGTTTTTGCCTAAGCAAAAAAGAAAACATAATCAATTTTTGCCTAAGCAAAAAGTAAACATAACCAGTTTGTATCCCACTCTGGCTATCAATTTTCCTATGTTTTCAGCCAATGTTTTATTATTTTTTCCCGTTCTTGCTTATTAGATTATGTTGAGCAACTACAGTATCTGTTGTGCCTGAGATAGCAAAACATGTTTCATTCCAGCTATTTCTACATGTAGAAGATTCATGTTCCTCCATTTACCACAGGTTCCTTGCTGTCCTATCATCTTCATCTTGTTATTTGGTTGCTGCTACGCTGACTGTGGTGATTTACTGCCTTCTGATCTTCTCACTACTCAATCAAGGTCCTTTCTGAAAAGCTTCAGGACGATATAAGCGCTAAAAAGCTCCAGCTTGTTGTTGACGCTGTTGGACTTGGTAAGCTTGATGAAGCCGAGGTCCATAAGAAAAATATTATGCCGTCATCCTATACCGGTGGGCGTCGCTGTATAACTGAAAACTTCCACGCCGCGATGACTATTTCCCGTTTCCAAGCCTCGCCTGATATAATCACAACTTTCACGTGTAATCCAAAGTGGCTTGAAATAATGGAGAGTCCTGAACCTGGGCAAAAAATAGTCAATAGGGCTGATATTACCGTTCGAGTATATCACATGAAACTGCTTGAGTACCTACAGAAGATCAGGACCGGAAAGATGTTTGGGACTGTAGTTCCTGGTACCATGGCCTGTGCATTTTCTCTCCTTTCTTTGTTTTTCTTACCCACGTTTCTCTTTGTATAGGATACAGATATGTGATTCCCATGTGATCCTTTTGCTGGAAACTTGCTAATCTTAGGGGTGCTGCTACTGGTGTAAAAGATGTTTTATTGAAAGAACTAAAGCAGTAGCTAATCCAAGCATTGAAGAAGTGACGCAGAGGTTACACTATATTGGCATGAAGTTTGAGCAGCGCCTGAAGACTACACAAGATAGTTTCTGGTGACCTTCAGTCTATATGTGCTAACCAACAGCAGCCACCCTTTGTTTCGTATCAATCGATCCAGCGTCTTTGCCCTTTTGGTGTTGCTCTGAGCAAGATATGTATAGATTTCCATTTGTGTATGATACACACTTTAGGCCTCATTAATGTTTCTGTGGTTAAAAGAAGTTTGTGATCACTTGTTCTATATATGTAATCGTCTGCCCTTCTACTAATATTTTCAAAAGACTATTTATATATGATTACACTGGTTAGAGAAAATCATGACATTGCCAGCAGCATTTTTTTATTTTCATATGTTTCAATATGTCTCTAAATATTTTTATGTGTACTCTTTCAATACTTGGCTTGCTCTCGCCCTTTGCGCCATTGGCGCAACGAGTCATCTAGTATATATAGGAGTACAATGATCTACTTGAAGTACAAGACAAGCCAGAACAAATCCTAGTCTATCTCGTCTTTCCTAATAAACATTATACTCAACAGTGACCAGCGTGAGAGCTCTCTAAACTCTAATTGAGCGACATTGTTCGGTAGTACTACAAATCTGTGCGCTCGTGTTATGCTTGCGTTGTTGATTGGAGATAACCGCTCTCAAATTTGAGCGCCACTATTTTTCGTCAGAGGAATCAAAGGGTGGAATCTGGAACGTAGGCACGGTCGTCAATGTACTCACAAAGGGAGGAAAAGGTCTTTTTTGGGAATCAGGAATCCCAAAAGGTTGACCTGTTTGGGAATATGTAGCCCAAACAAAGGTTTTTCCTGCATACGATAATTCATTTGGCACTTGTCAACAAAAAATTCTAGTGCAATATTAGCCACAAGACAATTTGATCTTACGAACATGACTTACTTCATCGGCCTTCTTCCACCATTCGTCATCAGCAATCATGGTGTTCGTTTCATCATTCCAACCAAGTCCAGTAGATGTATTCTTTAGGATCAGCCAATCCCTATACAAGGTCCTCAAACTGCCCCATTTATTTTTGAACTGCAGCCTACTGTAAAGTTTTCCGGTCTGCTGAAAGAAGCCAACTTCTACATTCTTGTATCCAGCAGGGTTCAAAAATTTGGCAGGCCTATTCCCCTTTTCCTTCTTCTTAGCAGCGAGATTGCAAAAAACGGTGGTCATTTCTGGACTCCAATTAGCTTTTGACATCTATAACATATGACATTCATAAGGGCAATTTACATATATCCAACCAATCATGGCCTATTACTAAATCTGACATTTTACTAAATCTGAACAATGCTACTGCTCCAATCAAAGCCTATTACTAAAGCAGTTCGTACATAAGAACATAATTCAGAGCATCAAGCAAAAAAATACATTTTTTGGGACTGATCAGTTACCTTCTCAAAGGTAGGAGGTGGGTCAGGGTGGACACGGTCCGGGCCGGTCCGGTCCCGGTCCGAGCCGTCGTTTGGACCGGCCGCCGGCGGTCCGGGCCGGACCGGACCGAGCAGTGCAGCGGTCCTGATTTCAGGGACCGGACCGGCAGGCGCGAAGCTCGGTGCGGACCGGCGGTCCTCACGGTCCGGCGACATCCAGTCACTTCCATGTGGGTCCAGCATGGCGGAGGGGTGGTCGGAGAAGAAGCAGGGTGGCCGGAGCCGGAGAAGACGCTCCTGATGCACGGCGGCGCGAGGGAGAGGCAAGGAAGAGAGAGGGAGCGGCTCGGCTATGCGGGGTAGACGAGGAGCAGCCGCGCGAGGGCAC